AATTTTATTGAAGTAATATCATCTTCAAAAGGTATTGTTCTATAAAATGAGTGTTTTCAGAAATAATATACATTATTTAAATAAGCAAGTTGATGAATTCGAGAATAAACTCTCAACCAAGATATTGCATGAATTTATTTCCCATTTTATTTTTTGAATTTTAAAGAATGCAATTTCAGATAGAACATCAATATAGTTTAGCCCCGGAGGATAAGTATTTTTTTTCTATTTTCCACCAATAATTGAATAGATTATTCAAAGACACAGATAATAAAGCGACTGACGCATTCAATACTACAATCTGTTTGTACTTAAATCAAACAGTTGTGGGAAAACCACTGCCCAGGGTCTATTATAAACTATAATAGGGTTGGGCAACCCAAACGATACGGTCCCCAAACGATATGTATACTGATTGAGATTGCAGAAAGAAATTATTTTGGAGTTTATAGGGTGGCTCAAAACAAAACAACCATGGGGTAAACCAAATAAATTACTGGCTGAGTGTCTTTTTGGTAGTACAAAACGTCAGGTCAATTTCAATATTGTAACTTTTTCAGTGATTGTGAAAAAAATTGTTATAAGTATTTCCGCTCAGATATAATACAATTATGCCAGCTTTTTTTTCAATTCTCGAAGCAGTTCTGATATGTACTCTTTGGTATTTCCTTGAGCTCTTTCACCAATTCAGATTGTATCCCCTCAATCGTCGTAAAACACTGTCTTTTTGTGCGTATCTTCCATCTTGGGAACAGAAAAAAAGTCGCAGGAAGTCAAATCTGGTGAATGTGGTGGCTGAGGCATGAATACGGTGTTGTTTTGGCCAAAAAATGAGTAACAAGCAATGACGAGTGAGCAGGTGCATTTCCCTGATGTGAAAGCCAAAAATTGGTTTTCTACAATACCGGACGGTTTTTTCGCATTTCTCCTTGCAAGCGGCGCATTCTGTCCAAACAGTGGACTGTGAAGAAAGATTTGGCTCCAAAATAAACAGAAACTTTTTTTTAACTGTGAAAGTGATGGCGACTGTTTTTTGGGATGGTCATAGAGTAATTTTAATCTATTATCTATTAGAAGGAAGCATACTACGCATCATCACGTTCCATATCTATATATAGGAGTATCACTGGGAGAAGTGTGTATGGTTAAAACGAGACTATTTTGAAAAATAAAGCAAAATTATGAAAAAAAGTCTTGAATCCTTGTTAGGTAGGAAACTTTTCAGCCTGCCTTTGTATATACCAATTCGTCGCTAGTCGATTCAATTTCATGCTATCTGGTCCAGAAACATTGACATTACACAAAACTAAATAATAATACTGATTCCTTTTGCATACTTATAGAAAACGGATATAATCTAAACGTTTCGTCAATCCTTCCTCGTGGAGTTGATGCGCATTACAATAGGATAATCGTGATAATTTTATTGTAGAGCTAAGTCTAGCAAAACAAAGGCAAAAAAGTTTCAGCAGGTTATTTTCGAAAGTATTTTGACTGTGTTGAACATTAGAAAAGGTTTTGCTTCTGTTATAATTTTTTTTCTCTATTTACATACACATTCCGTGAAACGAAATTTTGTGCGTTTGTAGTGGTAATTGCAAAAGAATGTGTGTAAAGATACATCACTGTGACTCCATCATCTCTAACTTTTCCAAAGCGTCCATTCGACACACGACAGACGACACCATTAATGTGTTGTGGACGTTACTCTTTTTGGATGCAGTATGCAAGTCCCAAAATAGAACTCCAGAAAAAAATGTCGTAAGGAAACTTCAACTGTTCCAGATATGCCGTGCTCCTGTCGGAAGTGCCGTGTCCCTGTGGATACGGGGAACCAGAAACGGCAGATCACGTGATTGAGAGATGCATGGACGGGGACAGGATTGGATGGCGTGATGACTGGATAAGATTCGTGAATGAATAGGCGGAGAACGTGGTCAGTAACGAATGAGAGAGTGAAAGGAGACATGAATAATGCCTTTCCCCTGTGCTGCCCTGGCTCAGCTAGGCATCTTCCCTGTATCCTAGCATCACCACTGTCAAAGGACCCGTGCTCGTCCAAATCACCGAGGGTTAAAGACCCATAACTTTATTGAAAAACAAACCAAATTTACATTTCTTCACAACTTTCAAGAATAAAACAATAAATTGAACTTAACTAATTGTACTGAAGTATATGTTTCTCTCTAAGGTAATACTTAACTAATCAAACTAAACTAAATGATTCTCTCTGAGGTATTGACAAATCATTTTCAGCCTGTAGGAGTTCCACAAGTCAGATAGCATCTATTCCATGGTTGTCTAAATTGGGAAGATCGTCGTTACTTTAGCGTCATTTCTTTAGCAGCATCATTGGTAGCTTGCCTCACATCCGTCCCTCTCATCTCTCACGACACTCTCTGCCCACTCGTTCGCCACATGTATCCATTCAATTCTCCTTCCATTCCTGTCTCTCATCTGCATTCCTTCCTTCTCTTGTTTCAGCCGTTCTTTCCACCCAGTTCTATCGCCGTCCATACATCTCTCTATCACATGTTCTGCCGTTTCAGGCTCCCTCCATCCACATGGACACGGCACCTCCCGTGCCAGGTTAATCCTAGCCAAGTATTCCGGGAAGTTACCGTGCCCCGTGAACAGCTGGACTGCCTTTCTCGACAGATCCAGTGACTCATACCCGACTGTTCTACAGAACCTGTATAACAGTCGCCCAGTCATACTGTTGTCCCATTCTCGCTGCCATTCTTCCTCAATCCATTCCTTTATCCTCTTCCTCTCCTCACTCTTACAACTCATTTTCCTCACGTTCCATGAAATACCATCCCTACGCATTCCTTTCTCTGCCTCCTTGTGGGCCTTTTTATTACCGGGGTTGTCATATAGGTGACCCTTGCGCCATACGATTTCGGTCCGTGCCACCCTTTTATACCTCTCCTCAATCATTCTCTGTATTCTAGCCACCCTTTTATGCCCCACACGCACCACTTTCATCCTTTCCACCGCAATTTCGGAGTCACTGATCACCCTTAGGTTCTCATTCATACCCCACATTTCTATCACCTTCTCTATCGCAATCAGTTCTGCTTCATTCACACTGCTCTGTTCGGGAATCGTCTCGTTCCCAAGAGCCCATTCACCTGCATTCCTTTCGTGCGCCCACCCAATACCCATTCTTTCCTCGTCCATTCTCGCTCCGGCATCCACATATACCTCGTCCATCCCTTCGTCCTGCGACTCCTCCAGTAAACCCCCTTGCATCCAGGGTTGCATCCAGGTTTAAGTATCTTATCTATACCTTTCAATCTATCCTGAGTCTTCCATTTCCCATTCATTCTCCATTCATGGTATCTAGCCCCAGCTTCTATATGAAGTGGGGCTATCCCCGTGATCACACTGAGCGCGGCTGTCGGCGCCTTCCTATATGCCCCACATGCGACGATGAGAAAAGGCCTCTGGGCCGCGCCCAGCTGTCTCCTGACTCTACTATCATGCACTCTACTCCCCCACACTTGCACCCCATACATAGCTGCAGGTTTCGCTACCCTTTCATAAATTATTCTAACACACTCTCTTTTCATTCCAATATTCCTCCCGATCCATCTTTTCATTTTCCCCGCCAATGTGCTTAGCTTTTTTCTCACCTCCTTGTGGAGTGAAAGGAGACAGTTGCGACTTACAGCGGAGCTAGGAATTAAAATAAAGCATGAGAGCTTAGTCAGGCTAGGTAGACAACGAAGGCGACACAGACCTGGCAAGTTAGGCGATGGGATAAAGAAAAAGCTAGATAGGTATTACTTTATATTGTTATTTGGAGCAGAGAGTTGATTTTGTTATGTTTTATTTTCTATTATTATTATTGTAAATGGATAGAGTAGTGGTTGGTTATTTTCATTATGCTAAAAGTACAGATGTGAAGAGATATATGTAAAGTTGTTATGGAATGTGGACAAGTGTAAATCTGTTTAAAAAAAATCTGTTTTTCCGTTGATCAGTTGTCGCCCCCATACGAACGACAACTCTCAGAAGTTGAGAAACTTGTGCAAGCTAAGGACCAACGAGGTATCACCTTTCAACGTGTGATTCCTAACACGGTTGCAGAATCATCCCAGTTTCAACCAGATAAATTCTCTCGAGGAAAATATCTGGTCGAGGCAGGAATCAAACCCACGGTCTCCCGATCGTGCGCACTACCACCGCGGCCAATTCAACAACGTTATTTGAATGTAAATATGTAATTGTTATGATTATTGTACTATTTGGGATTTGATGAATAAAGAAAAGGGTCTTCTGCCCCGCTAATTCATCCCCCCGCATTGTCAGCGTTCCGCGTCGGGGATGCGTGAGGGGGGTGACTTAGGAGGAGTAAGGGTTCTCTTGACAGTGGTAGCGGTAGATAGAGGGAAGATGCTCAGTCAGCTTTCGGTCAGGGCAATGAGAGCGACAGCAAATTCATGTCCCAGATGTACACATATTACTGTCTCTTTCTAAAAATAATTTTCAAACCAAGGGTGACTGTTAACTCTCCTACTAATATGTTGAAAATTTCGTGATATAATTGGAGATCGATTATGCCACATGTCTTTCAAGAATCTAAAGAAAGCATACTAAGATCCTTATTGTTATCTGAATCTATTTTAGTGATCGGTTCTAAAGTTATCACTTCTGTATCTCTGAGATTTCGAAAGCCATATTAAATAAAGCATTCTATCTGCAGAATATGCAACTCCTTCAGGGTTGGGATTGTCTATAATTTCTTCAATTCCTTATTCTGTTGGTAGATACAGAAACATTGATGTAGGATTCATAAAAATCTTCGTGTTTTGTTTTGCACTTATACGTACTCTCAACAACTAACAAAAGTTGCAAACTTGTAAATTCGAAAGAGTTTATGCTTCCACTATCAACTACGAACATCTCTGAAGAGAATCAATCTCTCGTTTTCCTCAATTATAGAATCATTGCAATTAACAACTTCTCAATTGGGAACTGACAAAAATGCAAAATTTCATCAGCAGCACCTCAATATTATTTTATTCGACAGATTTTGATTACATATAGTACAATTTCAAACCAAAATTACCCTGGAAAATATATAGTAACTAGCGAGTAAAGTAATTTTTCATATGTCTCCATTCAAAATCATATTTTTCATTTCTCTTCTTTTCACCTTTCCTGACGGGGTTAAGAGGAAACTCTCAAGGAACTTCACTCCACCTCGTAACTTCATTCTGTCTGGAACTTTATCTTCCACGTAACTCTCTATGTCTTGTCCAGTAATTTTTTCTCTGAAGTTATCGTTCAATGTGAGCAGGGCCATAGGAAGGTCGCCATCTTCTTCATGAGGAATACCTATCACTAAGGCTTCTTTAACAGCTGGATGATTCACTAGGATCTGAAAAGTACTATTGTGAACTCATACTATACTTTCGTTTTAATGGTTGACAATGTTCAATGGTGAATTTTACTGGTTCGGACTTCCATTGTCCAATATTATATGATTTGAAATCTCTGAAAGAACAAATAAAATGAAAAATTTAAATGAATAGCTGAAAATAACAGTTATGTTGAATAATGAATACAATAGACTGAAAATAAGCAGAAAATTAAAAATTGAACAAGTTACTTCACAACATTTCAATTGTAAGTATCCATGGCTGATCTATTACTCCGAAAGATGATTATTTACGACTATAGGTCTTTCGAACTCTTTCACCTATCCCCTCTTCCCTCTCTCCGCTTCATCGGTTCAGTGGGAGTTGACTGTTTCTTATTCGAAAAAAGGTTTTATATGTTGCGTATCTATACGCTAGCTTGGTCGAATGCGTCGTTGGTCAACATATATGCAGCTTCTTTGAACTTCCTCTTGAACCAGTGCCCCTCCTGTGGATGATCTCAGCTTGGGACCACTGGATGTTATGTGAATGAGTCCCCGATTTGTTCGTTTCTCTTGTGCTCATCAATGCAGACTTTCAATGGCCTTTCAGTTTCACCAATATAGGATTTGCCGCACTCGCAGGGTATCCGGTAAATGCAATTCTTGGAATCGTAGTCCGCGTTTGGTGGTAAGTTCTGATGTACTTGGACCCAATTCTTCTTCTTTTAATTTTATTTGATCTTTCAGAAATTCCAAATTATATTATATCATATTCGACAATGGAAGTCCGAACTAGTAAAATTGGATACTATTAGACATTATTCTNGTTAGATCTAACCTTCACGTTCCAGGTCGAGTTTTGTGAATATTTTATTGATGTAGCCGCAGGAAGCCAACCTTAACCAGCAAAATTTTGAAAGTGATCTATGATGGAAAAAGTTTGGGAACCTCTGATCCAGACGAATAATTACCCGCCATAATGAGACCATTCAGTTAGTTCCTAGTATTTTGTTAATATTCCTATCGTTACTTACTACCTGGCTGATACGTAATCTTCATCTGTTTTCTACCCGTAATTAGGCATTAGCGCAAACAATGGGCTATCAGGATTATAACCTTTTCCATTTCTAAACTTTCAGAGTTATCTAAAAACTTTTATCATGTCCCGGTCTTAACAGTTTCCAGCATTCTTCGCTAATTATGTGGCCGTTGTTTATGGCATGTTGAACAACAATATACTTTCCTGATCTATAAAATCGAATACGTGCCTTTTTGCGGGCGATTACAGTCCACTCAGTATGACCAGAATATTTTTTTTTAAATACTCACATCTTATTTCGTGAATCCCAGAAATATCCCACCTTTCCGTCCACTCTCATATTCAATTTTTTAAAAATGTCAACAGAAGCAAAGTGTATTCTGCTTTGTATGGAACAACTATGAATTGAGTCGTCTTTCTGAAAATTCGAGAATCCGATGTATAACTATATTCGTCATTTTAGATGAGGATAAGAGAAGATAGGTATCTTTTCTGAACAACAGATCCTCCAATATTAGGTTTTTTCAAAAGTTTTGTCCGTTTTTATGGCTTCACTTCAAACTTCTTCTTCTCAATGAAGGTCCAATGTTTTTATTGGATCCCACAGGACATATTTCGGTATATTCTTTCCGAAGCTCTGGTCTATCAAATATATTCCTCACAGTCGTAGGGAGCTGTGGAGAATCATTCTTTAGAGTCGTAGGGAGCTGTAGAGAATCAATCATTCCTCAGAGCCGTAGGGGACTGTGTGGCTTGGCCAAGTTATTAGAAACTCAAGTTTCTAAATGCACAAAATGGAAATCTCAATGAATCCTTATTCATTTTGATCGAAATAAGCGCTATTTGAATCAGTACAATTCTGACAACGTAACACACGTCGAATAATTCCGTCAGCATAAAAATTGTGTAATCGGGATTCGATGAAGTCGTCGGAGACAGTTCTCGCCTAGACGTTATTGGAGAAGGTTCTACCGCGGAGAAAGTTATCAAGGTGTTTCTTGAAAAGATGGTAGTCAGTTGGCGTGAGTTCTGGAGATTTCAATTTTCGGACGTTGATTTTTGGAACATACGGACGGGCGTTATCATGAAGTAGGATCGAAACTTTTCTCTTGATCAGTGCCGGCTGCTGCAGACCCAATTTTCGGCAGATTTCGTCGATTTTCTTACAATAGGACTCAGCTGTAATGGTTTGGCCCCGTTGCAGGAAGTTATAGTGAATCACATGAGCTGCTGATCACCAAACAGTAACCATGGTCTTTTCTGGTAGGTTTTCGCCTTTGAAAAGTAACTGAGTGGCTCATAGGAATTCTGTGACATAAAATCGTGACTTCATGAATGAACTGTGTGTTTTTTCTTATAATGTTATTAAGGTTGGTACTGAAGAGCCCTTAGGCAAACTTTGGTTGTCCACCAGTGTAATTTTTTTACAAATTGAGGTTCTCATAATTTCATCTCCTATTTCTTTCTATTTTTTATGTCATTTTTTGCCGAATATTTTGTACTTTTGATAATTAATTCATTCATCTTTTATATTATGTCGATGAATAAAGACGATTATTATTATTATTATTATCTTCTCAATGAATGGAATTGACCTGAAATTCAAAATTATTGACATTTCAAATTTAATGCTGATTTGTAAAAAATATTAATGAGCTGATTAACCACTCAGTTGATGTGCAGTTCATAAACTCCTCGGTCTTAGGACTTACCGTCCTAAGAAACCTCACAGGCGTGACCTATAGTCACGTTTCTCTGAAACAAATTTCAGAATATCCCCATTTCTAATTGATGAAAACAAGCGTCAGATGAATTTACCAACGATTTTCACGACATTGTTTGCTTATCTTGGCGCCAGTCCATAAATTTATTCGTACGAAGCGCAAGATTTTCCTGGCAATGATCTAATTGTTATTTGTCGTGTTGCTCTTTTTGATCTGATTAATGAACCTGAAACACAATTTTGTTTCTTGACAAAATTGACTGGAAAAATATAGCAAGATGTGACATGCCAAATCGAATTATGGAAACATATTTATATTTCGTTCAATAACTTATTCAACTCGATTGAAATTAGGAATAATGTATCACTTCATATTTGATGCAGCAAATTATAATTGTCCTTTCAACCATTCAACTCAAGCGCCTGACAAACCGATGCGACACGCGTGATGAGGAAAGGTAACAGTTGCGTTTTTATGTAGTGAATCTTTTTTAAGGTTGAGGTTGCATTTTAGTTTTCTGTTGTTTTTAGGTATTGGCTACTCAATTAGTCCAAAATTGAAATCGATAGTTGAGAACTTACTTTTATTCGAGTGAATTTTAACAGAAACAAGCCACTCTACCTGGGATACGAAGCTCAATTCGAGGAGTTGATGTGCCAATTGAAATAATAGGAAAAACTTCAACTCATAAGAGGTAGACGAAGCTTGCTTTATACAGGGTGTAACTGAATAAGTGTAAAACATGCAAGGAGGTGATTCCTCATCGAAAAAAAAGATCTTTCATATGAAGAAAATTCATTGGAGCCCCTTAAAGGGGGTATATAAAATTTATATAACAATTTTTTTCACAAGCACTGAAAAAGTTACAATATTGAAATCAACCTGACGTTTTGTACTACCAAAAAGATACTTAGCTTACTTGGTTACCCCATGGTTGTAAGGGGTGGAAAACGCAACCCCTAAAATTTATTTCTAATGTAACTTTTTGTCTTATTATTTGTTTACCATTTAAAAATGTATTTCCGATAGCCTGTTTCATTTTAAACAAAGAAGAATATGAAGTCAATATCTTCACCT